TTGGCAGGGCTCTGGCCTCAATGTTCGGCCACATAGTTAGGCGCTTCCGAAATGGCAGGGGGCGGCGGCGGTGACTCGCCGTAGGCGTCTTCGATCCGCCGCCCTCTGTTGATTCATCACAGGGGTGCCCGGCGTGCTGAATCCTTTCGCTTTTGGTTTTGGTTCTTTTTCCAAGAGAACTCTCCATGGAGTTTCGGCCCCGCCCGCCGGGGTCCTGGAATGGCCCAGAAAGGGTGGTTCCAAAAGTCTGTCCTGCTCCAGATGGCTCCAAGATGGCTTCCAAGATGGCCTTCAGGTTCGCCCAAGATGGTCCAAGATGGCCTCCAAGACGGCCCAGGAGAGTCCAAGATGCCTCCCAGCTTGCACAAGAAACCTCTCAGATGGCCCAGGTCGGCCCAAGAGGGCTCCAAGACGCCTCCAAAATGGCCTCCACGAGAGCCCGAAGAGGCCAACTTCATTGATGTTCCGTAGGTTGTTGAAGAATGTTGGCATTTGCTTCGCCTCGGCATTGCGACGGCTAAAGACGGCCCAAGAGGCCCCCAAGCTCGCTCCAAGATCACCCAGTCAGTCAGTCAGAAGCCTTGCACCAGACGGTGCGCAAGCAGAGATGGGAAAAACGCACTACATGTACCAAGATGGCACGGCCGACGCCCAAGCTCGCGCTGCACCGTCCTCCAGGCGGAAGTAATCAGCAAGGCGAGTGGCGGAGCCGGCCACGCGCAAACAACTGTTCATCACCATGTTGCCCTAATTCTGTCGGGGCCGGCCTCTCCTCCGAGGTCCTGATGGCGATCGTATGTCAATGCTGTCAGGTTCAAACGCAGACATGCGCACCGGGTTTGTGCTGGGGCGTCTCGCAAGCTTGCCAATGAAGAACATCTGATGTTTACAGATTTGCTCGCTCAAAAGCCGCTGCTCTGCTATGCTCAAAACAATGCCATTCGAAATTCTACTGTAATATGAATGCGGCACGCGAAAAATCCCCTTTAGACACTGGGCTTGAAATCCGTCAAATCTCCGGCGTTCGGCCTGATTCACGCATATAGTAAACAGAGATTATGTTAATTTAGCAACTACGCATGCGTTTAAAAATACGCACTTTATGGCGGCGGGACAATGCAGCATGCGACCAAATTGCGCTCAGCACGTTGAAGCCTTGCCTGGCCGCACCGAGTCTACGGTTAAGCTCTGCGCCGCTCTGGCCATCTGCGGACAGCAGCGCGCCTAAGTATACTAAGCTGCTGGTTTCCTTCGCCGCCTTACCTGCGCAATTGACAAGATGAGCTCCGGCGCGAACGCGCATCACTTCAACCTTGCGCCAATTCAGGCTCAGCCCATGGTGTCGCCCGCATTCCTCTATGCAGAACATCAGATCTTGGATGATTTCCATATTGGCGTCCAACAAGAGAGTGTCGTCAGCGCACACCAGCTCCCTGAGAAAATGTGGCTGTGGAACATTCGGCATGCGCACCTGGAACATGGAATGGGCGTCTGTCAACAACGTTGTCATTACGATTGTGAACAGAAATGGTGATAGTGGACATCCCTGACATATCCCAAATTGCTGGTTCCGCTCCGCCGACAAGGTGCCTGAGTCTGAGACGACGAAAGACCGACCATGATAAATCAATTCAACCACGTCAACAAATTTCGAGGGGCACCCAAGCCCCCGCAGTCAAGTTGTCAGAGCGCTCGGCGATACTGAATAAAAGGCTCTTGCCCAGTAAAGAGCGAGTAGCAATGGCGAGCCTTGCTTCGTCGCCCAAGCGTCCTCCAGGATTCGTCTGGCCAAAAATATAGCGTCGCCGCTTCCTCGGCCGGATCTGAAACCAAATTGGGTGCGCCAGATGTGATATTCGGCCCCTGCTTGCTGCAACCTTTCCAACAATATCATAGCGAACACTTTGTATCCTATTGGTAGGAGGCTGATGGGCCTGTAGTTGTCGCAGGCCGACGGGTCGCCCTTCTTGTAAATCATCGTGGCCCAGGACTTCCGCCACGCATCGGGTACGCAAATATGTGACCATACAACGTTGCAAAATCGGGTGACCCAAGAAATCGCGGCCTCCCCATCTTCGGTCACAGCCTTCCAAAACTCCGGCGGAACTTGATCCAGTCCAGCTGCACGCCCGTTATTCAGCTTCTGCGCGGCCTCCCGGACTTCTGACTCCATGATGACGTCAAGCCTCACGGGTAGTTCTGGGTGGATGCTCTCAGTGTTAGGGAGGACCGTGGTCGGACGCACCGCCCGCTGGATTTGTTCCAGATGCTCGGCCAGAGTGTCAGCCCGCCTGTCGCTGTCCACAAGTTCGCCGGCGCAGTCTCGTAGTCTGCCTGGTTGTCGCTTTCGCCCTTTGCGCAGCTTCCGGATCTGCGCCCAATCAGCTTCTTTGGTAATATCATGGAGCCACTGAGCCCGGTCATGGGCGACTGATGCTCGGATCTGTTTTGCAATTGTTTTCTCCTCCAGCGCGTCCCCTGGGCGTCTTGACTCTTTTCTCCTTGCTATCAAATTGAGGGTGCAGGTGATCGTCCAAGGGCGTCTCGGTCGATGGCGTTCGATTGACACTGTGGAATCCTCTGCCCGCCGGAAGCCGTCCACAAGACGAGACCACGCGATGTTCACGACTCCCTTGTCTGGCACTGTGTCCTCAAACTGCTCCATCGCCTCGCTGAAGCAATGTCCGAAGGAAAGCTTTACTCCAGTTTTCAATAGTGATCGCATGTCCCGCTGGGGACTCCGCTCAAGCGTGCCCTTCACCACTTCCATCTCGAGTGTGGCACGCAGCAGAAAATGGTGTAACGACAACGGCGCATGTGTGAGGGATCTCACGGCCTTCACGTTGTGCAACCAATTTTGCTCGCATGCGAAGAAATCGATCTGCGAGTGGGTGTGCAATGATACGCCCTCCCCGGCTGGGAGGCCCACATTGTAGCACGTGGCCAATGGTAGCTCGTAGAAGGTGTTGGCCAAGCACATGTTGAGCTGGGTGCTCGCCTCCACCAGCACGTGCCGGTTGGCGTCCGGCGCGCACTCCACGCCAGGGGATTCAAACACATGCGGACCTACCACACTCGATTCGCCGACAAATTGTTCGTAAAGCCTCGCGGATATTTACCACTATGTGGAGCGTATGCTGAAAATAGAACGGTTTTACCACCAGGAACTCGTAGTTTCAGCAATGCCAGTCTGGATGTCACCTGGCGGAATGCAACAATGGATCGCCGTGCACGCGGCGCAACTATGAAGCCGACGCCTGCTCGATCCTCGTCTTCGTCTGCTCTGCTCTCAGCGCCACCTGATTCGGGGATCTTCTGACCCGGGTCAATCCAGACCCGGGTCAGCAGGAAACCAAAAACTGCAATGCAGGAAAAAAAAACTGCAACGCAGGTCCTCGCAAACCCGGGTCAGCAAATACGCGCGGCCGCCTCGCGGCCACGAGCGGCTCCCTAACCCGGGTCAGCCAGAGGGGGCCTTCGCAGGATCCTGCAGGATCCGGCGCCCTGGCTGACCCCCGTTTGCACTGACCCCCGTCTCGAGGCTCCCGACTGATAGCACAACGAAACACCCCGTGTCTGTGACGAAGGTGTCTGATAAGGTTTGCCATGTTTCCTGGATGCATAATACATCAATGCTTTCTCGTTCCATGATGCGTTCGATCTCCACTTGCTTTGCAATGGTGTACCCCTCGATGTTCCACGAAACGATCGTGAATTCGGAACTGGAGGGGCGCAAACGGCCGCCCCCGGCTGCAGCAAGAGGCGGCTTGGCTAAGCAGCGTGAAGAGCTGGTTGGAACGCCCGGCAAAAGGACAGGGATCCATAGCTCTGATGTGACACGTCTCTGCTATCGCCCCGCTGGCACGCCAAGATCACCCACGAGGCCTCAAAAATGGCCCCATGACGGCCCAAGAGGCTCCAAAGACTGCCCCAAGAGGGCCCCGCGAGACCTCCAACAGCCAAAATGGCCTCCAAGACGGCTCAGGTGGCCCCAAGATGCCTCCAATACGGCCCAATATGCACCAAAAACGGCCTAAGATGCCTCAAGATGGCCCAAGACGGCCCAAGAGGCCTTCAAGACGGCCCAAGAGGCCTCCAAGAGGTTCTCCAGAAAGACCCGAAGAGGCAAATTCATAGATTGTCCGTCGGTTTTTGAATGATCTGGGCATTTGCTCTGTTTCGGCATTCCGACGGCTCAAGACGGCCCAAGAGGCCCCCAAGCTCGTTCCAAGATCGCACACGAGGCCTCCAAGATGGGGCCCAAGATGCTTCCAAAACGGCCCCAAGAGGGCCCCAAGAGGCCTCCGAGACGGCCAAGCTGGCCTCCAAGACGGCTAAGATGGCCCCACGATGCCTCCAAGACGGCCCAAGATGACCTCAAGATGGTCCAAGACGGCCCAAGAGGCCTCCGAGAGGCCTCCCCAAGACGGCCCAAGAGGCCTCCAAGAGGTCCTCCAGGAGGACCCGAAGAGATCAAAATCATGGATGTTCCTTATGTGTTTGAAGGATTTTGGCATTTGCTCTTTTTCGGCATTCCGACTGCTCAAGACGGCCCAAGAGGCCCCCAAAGATTGCCCCAACATCGCCCACGAGGCCTCCAAGATGGCCCCAAGAGGCCCCCAAAACGGAGACTTCCAAGAAACTCTCCAAGACGGCCCGAAGCGCCCCAATAGAGAGCCCCAAGTCGGTTCAGAGAGGCCCCCAAGACGGCTTCCGCCGGTGTCAGATGGGTCGGGAACGCCCTAAGACGGCCAAAAAGGCCCCCAAGAAGCCCCTAAAGGCCCCCAAGAAGCCCCCAAGAGGCCCAGGGAGGCTCCCAAGAGGCCTCCAAAACGTTACCAGGAAGCTCCGCCGAGGCCTCCCAAGAGGCCTCGCTCCTCCCTCTCGCGATCCTCCTCCTATTGCTCCCCCGCGCGTTCCCCGAAGGCTTTCCTAACCGACTCGGGGAACACATGGCCCGATAGCTTGGCCAGGCTCTAGCCCAGCTGTCGGCCACATAGGCTCTTCCAAAGGGCCAGGGGGCGGCGGCGATTCGCCGTAGGCGTCGTCGATAGGACCATATCTAACAAGACAAAGACGCGGACTGGTGCTCGGCTCCAACTCCGGCATACATTCATCTAGCCACCGCAACACCTGCTGCCACGGGCCGCCTTACCCACACGCGAGGCCTACATCGATATACACGTGCTGGCTGAAACATCGAAACCGACACCATCCAGAGTAGCGAGAACGCTAATTGGTTCCTGCGGTTGTACCTTCTCCACGGGACTGCTGTTTCGGGTTCGCTGCTGCACGCTTCTGTGTACCTGCTCTTGCTGCGACCACTCCATGTTCTCATTAAAAACCTGCAAGCCCACTGATTGTCCTGCATGCGAATACTCGCGAAACCCAGCAGTTGTTGCATCTTGTACCCACCAACCTCAAGGGCTCCCGAGCACATGAAAGGGTCGCGGGGGCCGCTCATGCTGCGCTGGAAACAGAGACTGGGCCCCTCAAGACCGCCACCAGCTCAACCCAGGGAGGAGCCGCACGGCTGGCTTTCTCGCACGCGCTGACCCCAGCACTGTAGTCGAAGACGTCGGGTTCCAGCTTCGCTCCCCGCATCTCGCGGAGCAGCGCCACGGCCTGCTGCCACCGGTCACCGTTCTCGCACGCACGGATCCCAGCTCGGTAGCTGATGGCGTCGGGCTCCACCTTCGCCTCCCGCATCTCGCGGAGCAGAGCCAAAGCCCGCTGCCACTGTTCGCCCTTCTCGCACGCGCTGATCCCACTGTTGTAGCCGACTACTGACTAGTGTGCACCCGTGGAGCAAACCCGCAGGTGCCCTGGCAAGGGAACGCGAAGGGGCCGACAGGCGGCGACGGCCTATTGGCTGACATATGTCTCGTTGGCGATGAGGCGAGAAGCGTGGCGGCCCTAAGACTCCCCCAAAAGAGCCCTCTGAAAACATCCGACGGATGCTACAACAGCGGGGTGCGTTGTAGCATCCGTTGCTGAGGCCTGTTCGGGTTCTCTGGAAGCGGTCTTGAGGCCGTATTGGGGTGTACCTGGGGCTCTGGCGGGCCATCTCTGAGCCATTTTGGGTCGCCTTGGGCACTTTCTGGGCCGCCTACGGGCTCTCTAGGGAGTCTTGGGCCATCTAAAGGCTCTCTCGGGCCGCCTTGGGATCCTCATTGGAGCCCTCGTGTACGCTGCAAGGTTCCAAAAGTCGTGTGTCCTAGAAGTTTAAGAACACCTTGTAGAAAACCCTGCATTTTTTGCACTAAGAGGCCCTGCTGGGAGGGTTTTTTGGAACGCTCTGGGAGCCTGTTGGGAGCTTTCTCTGCCGTCTGGAGCCCGTCTCGGGCCATCTTGGGGCCATCTGAGGCTGTCTGGACGCCATCTTGGGCCATCTTGAGGCCATCCTCGGCCGTATTGGATGCATCATATGGCATCTTTGGGGAAGTTGGAAGCCTTTTGGACTCGCTCGTGCCGTCTGGGAGTGCAGGCCCTCCCGGCGGGCCCTCCCGCGGGCTTTGCCACGATAGCCGAGTACCACGCGCTGCTCCTGGTATTGTAGGAGAGACTCGTGTGCACAAGTGGTTGTGTGGATCGTCGCGGTCGACTAAACTATGGGCTGTGCCTGTGACGTGCAACCACCAAAAAAAGACCCCCAAACCCGAGAGGGTTCTCTGATCCGTCTCTTCGAGCAGCCTTCAAAAGACAGCTCCAAAGGCCGCTGCGCACTCCAAGGTTCCAAACAAGGCACCAAAAAGGCCCCGAGAAGTTCCTGAGAGGCACCCGAAAGGCCCCCAGGAAGCCCCCAAGACGCCGCATGAGGCCCCAAATGCCCCTCTGGAGGCCCCCACGATGCCCTGAGGCCGCCACGAGCATCCCAAGTGACTCCAAGAGGCAACCAAGAGATCTCTATACTACACACTTCACTGAGGCTCCCCGACATATCCAAACGCTGCCACGCTGCCCAAACAAGGGCCGCTCCCCAAATTAAGCACCGCTCCTCGACAGGCTGGTAAGGATATTTATTTTGATCGTGACCGCGCCGAAAGCAGTCGGGCGGCGTCCAAGGGCGCAGCTGACTAAGCGGCGGCCTAAATTACGCGCAACAGAACGGAGGAAAGATAACGAGAGAAGAAGGAAACGGAAGGAGGACCGAACAAGAGGCGGGCCTCGCTGCCGCTCAGAAGAGAGCGCCGTCGACCGGGAAGAACATCCACGCGGGGTGCATCGCCAGAGTAAGGTTGAACGACACCTCGAGCGTGCAGAGGATGGGGACCACTGGCAGAACTCACCACGAAGTGAAGCGTCAGGGCCAACGGTCCCGCCGACGCAAGTGGCGGTCGAGCCGCACGCCCCGGCATGCACCGACCAACTCCATGCAGGCGCTCAACGGACCAGAGTCCGGATCGCCAGATACCGTCAGGGACTGGTGTCGAGACCGCGCGCTGGGCGGGAGGGTGCGGGCGGGCGCACGCGCACCGCGGTAAGCATGAGGACCCCGTTAAGGGACCGTCGGGGAGGAACCCGCACGGTGGGGGGTGACCGAGAGGTCAGCCGACCCCAGGCCGGGAGGGGGTGCCGCAGGCCGCGGGCCGGAAGGCCGAGGCGGAGGGGCAGCAGAGGGCAGGCGGGCAACCGAAAGGGATGGCCCGCGACAGCCGTGCGGCAGAGGAGGTGCCCAAGTGGCGCCTTGTGCCGAGCAAAGGCCGTTGGGCGGGGCGCCGTGGGGGAGCAGGCCACGGCGGTGAAACGCGGCGGATGCCACTGATTGGGGGGCGGAAAGATACAGATACGTGTTGGCCCCGGACCTCCCTTGGGGTGCGTTCTGACCAGAATTTTAAGGCGAATCCAGCGGTGACAACGAGGATTCCCCAGGAGGACCATGAAAGGCCGAAAACGACGGGGACAACACGTATCCGTATCTTTTTCTCCCCCGAACTGAGACCCCGAGGTCAGAGGCGGGGTCGGGGCGCCGAGGGGGGCCTCGCGAGCCCCCACGCAGGAAAGAGGGGCAAGGGGGGTGGCCCGACGCCAGGGGGCGAGGAGCCACAAGCGACCCAGTGACAAGGGCGCTCTGGGAGGCCAGGCGCGGGCCGTCAGCCCGTCAGCCCCAGCTGGACACGCGCCCGGCGGTATTTTTGGAGTTCCTCCTCCTCCTCCTCCTCCTCCTCCTCCTCCTCCTCCTCCTCCTCCTCCTCCTCCTCGTGAGAGGAGTGGAGAGGAGTGGAGAGGCGAGGTGAGAGGCAGGGGCCGCGATCGCGAGACGGGCGAGCGACGACGGGCGGCGACAGACCGTGCGGTGACCTCGAAATCCCCCAAGACCTCACCGCACGGTCCGTCACCGCACGGTCCTGGGACCCTGGAGGCCCCTGTCGCCCGAGACATCCTCGGACTCGAGTCCCAAAACCGTGCGGTGACCCCGAATCACCACCGACTCACCACACGGTGTGGTCACCACCCCGTTTGGGGGCCCCCGAATGTTGGGCACGAGGCCGGGGCGGCCTCCGGAAAGGCCGCGAGGAGGGCGGGCGAGGAGCCCGGCAGGCAGGGGGGGGAAAGAGCCCGAGGGCGGGCCTCTCGGGCGCAGGGAGCTGGCAAGAGCGCCGGCGTCCGCAGGGGGGGGTCGCGCCAGGGGCGGACGAGGAGGCGACTACTGGTCGCAAGTTTGGTGAAGCACAAGGGGGAGCGCGAGGCAGAGGCGACTAACGGTCGCAAGTATTGGTAAGGAGTGGCAGAGGCGGCGCAGGCGAGGTGGTGTCGCGACTAACGGTCGCATGTATTGGGGTGACTGCGAGGGAGGAGCGAGGGCCCCCGGAGGGGCGCCAAGGGGGCCCGCGGGAGGGCAGCGCACCCAGGGAGGGTATGCGTCAGAGCAATAGAGCTGCGGCTCTCAGCCGTGAGTAGAACCGTGCGAGGGCAGGCAGACCCCCAAACCCGGAAGCGCGGGAAAAGGCGGGAGCGGGGGCTGCGTTTGTGCACCCTGACCTCCCGCGGGCCGGGGGGGGATGAGGCAGCTAGGGCTGGTAGGGATACGCGAAACGTTTAAGAAGTTTGCCTCTAGAGGCGGTCCTGGGGACCCTCTTGGCCTGTCTGAGGGGCCGTGTTGGGGGCCACCGTGGACGGTATCAGAGCGCCCTTGGGCCGCCTGGGGCCGTCTTGGACCGTCTGGGGCCACTCCGGAGGCCACCATCTCCGCGGGCCTGGCTGGAGCGGCCCGGGAGTAGTCAGTAGAAGTCTTGGAAGCCTCTTGCGCCGTCTCGGGACGATCTTGCAGGCCCCTCGGGCCGTCGTGGGCTGCCTGAAGCCCGAGAAGGCAGAAACGCGAGAATCATATAAAAGATGTAGCAACAAGTGAGATAAGTCTAACAAGTCTAAGGAGATCATGTGCCAGCCCGTGGCACGGCGCTTGCGCACCACTGCCGTCACTGAGCCGGGTTTCCGGCAGGACGCGCGGGCAGATGTAAAAAGTTACGAGGGGATGGTGTGCCTCTGGAGGCCGTCTGGAGACCCTCTCGGCGCTATCTGAGGGCGTCATAGGGGGCCTCGTGGGCCGTGTTGGGGCCAGCTTGAGCGATACACTTGGGCAGCATGGGGCCGTCTTGAATAGTCCTAAGCCGCTCTGGAAACAACCGTGGTGGCTCCGAGGTCCTGACGAGAGCGACCTCGGAGAAGCCAAGAGAATTCTTGGGAGCCTCCTGGGCCGTCTTCGGGCGATCTGCGAAGCCCCTCGGGCCGTCGCGCGCTGCCTGAAGCCCGGGGAACGCGAAAATCATGCACAACATGTAAAACAAAACTTGACGAATCTTGCATCTGGAGGACGCTCTGGGGGCCCTGCTGGGGCCGTCTCAGAGCGTCCTGCGACTGTACCAGCCGGGCCGTGTTGGGGCCATCTTGCGCGATCTCAGAGCGCGGTCAGGCCACTTGCGGCCGTCTTGGACCGTCGGGGGTTAGCACCAGGGGCGACCATGGCGGCTCCGAGGGCCTGGCCGGAGCGGCCCAGGGGGGCCAGTCCTTTGCCACTGGAATCCATGACTACGAACGATTCTTCTCACGCAAGAGGTACGATTGGTTGCCGGATTGCGTGCTGTCCTGCCTGCGCCCTGCTGGCCTGGCAGTGTCCTGATTGTATGGCGCCCGTCCTGCCTGATGTCATGTCTGGTTCTGTGCGGTGCCTACTGGGCCGCCCGCTGCCGACGACTGGAGCTTGCTGATACAGTGTCATTGAATCCACAAGGAGCCCGCGGCAAGAAACCCAACCCTAAAATCCGCCACGGATTCTTGGTCCAGGGTTGGGTGTCTTGAACTTCGGCTGCCTAAGAAACCCAGGGTGCCATGTAATGTCTAATCTCTGCGAAATGGGCACAACCTTCCACGCCGAACGCAAGCCAAATAAACCCAGGGCACCCTGACGAAAGACTGGGTGGTTCTTTTCATGCGGTCCGACTGTGCTTGGTAGCTAGTGCTGCTACTTGGTACTGCTTGCTGCGTATTGCTGCTAGTGCCTGCTGCTTGCTGGTGCGTGCGTGCTGGTGCTGGCTGCGGTGTTGTGCTGTTGCTTGATGCTGGTGATGTTCGACGTTGCTGATGCAGCGTGCTGCTGCAGCTGTTTGCCACAGCTGGTTCCTACTGCAAGCTGCTGGTGCTGCTGCTGATGCTGCTGCTGCTGTTTGCTCTGCTTCTTGATGACATGTTATGTGATCGCTCATTGCTACCCGTTACGAAAGTTATTCATCTTGAGCACTGACGACTAGGGCGTCTCCGAGTGCCCCCCCCTTTCCCCCCGTAGACTCCTAGCACGGCAGTCTTCGGCCTGGCTCGGCGGGAGAGATTTCCGGGGTTCTCCCTGGTAACACTAATAGTATATAACCAATTCAGGATAAAATCTCTCCCCCGTAAATTCACAAGGGAGAAATCACTCCCGGTCACTTCCAGGCAACTCTGAATCTCTCCCCGTATGAAACCACAAGGAAGAATCACTCCCATACCACTTCTCAACACAGCGCCCACACATGTCAATTTCAGCCAAGATGAATTAACTTTCGTAACGGGGATGTATGGAGGGAGAGACGATGAGATGAAGACGATCCCGTAGTCCTCCCGCTGCTCTCCCCCGCACACGCACCCACACACACTGTGTCTTGCCTGGGCATCGACATTGAAACCGATCAGGGGCATCGCCTCCGCTGCCTCCACCCTGGGCCTGCTTAATGCTGGTGCTGCCGATATTCACGGCTACTGCCTCTGTTTATGTCAAGGCCATCTGGGGGGGGGGGCCTAGGGGCCGTTCTGGGCCGTCTTGGAGCGCTAGTGGGGGCGTGGTGGGCCGTCCTGGCACTGTGGGGTGCTCTTGGGGCTCTCTCGGGACGATTGTGCCCCGTCTTGTAGGCGTCCATGGGCGAGCGATGATCGTCGAGTGTAGCTGATGGCGTCGGGCTTCAACCTCGCAGCACGCATCTCGCGCAGTAGCGCCAGCGCCCTCTGCCACTGATCACCCTTCTCGCATGCGCTGATCCCAGCGGAATAGCTGATGACGTCGAGCTGCAGTTTCGCTTTCCTCATCTCGCGGAGAAGCGCCACAGCATGCTGCCATTGTTTTCCATTCTCGCACGCGCTGATTCCAGCGCAATAGCTAACTTTGGCGAACCCGTAGACCACGCCAACATCCGTACGAAATGGCATGTGATGGTGATCATGCTGCCGAAATGCTGAAACGAACATGTAGGGATCGGCATCCGAATTCTGGGTAGGCTACTGCGTGCTGCTTGCTGCCAATGTTGCGTGGTGTTGGCAATGCTTGCCGCTGCTGCGTGATGTGGAAGCTTGTGGCTGCAGGATGCTGCTGATAGTAAGTTCTGCTTGGTGCGTGATGCTGCCTGCCCGCCGACTAGTGGTGTTGCTTGCCGTCGCTGTGTGCTGTCGCTCCTGCTGCCTGCTTCGTGCTACGCGCTGCTGCCTTTCGCAGCTGCTGCTTCTGCTGCTGCTGCTGCTGGATGCCTCAAAGTGCTGGTTCTCCCTTTGTCCGCTCGCTGGCGCAACCTGCTGCCGGGGAAGGGATCGAGGAGCGAAGCGCGAGGAGCGAGGAGAGCGAGGAGGAAGAAGAGAGCAGCGAGGAGCGATCGGCGAAGAGGGAGGAGCGACGACCGAGGGGGCGGGAGGGAAGGAGGGACAGCCGAGGAGAGAAGAGGCGGGAGCAAGCGCGTGTAACTTCGCGCTTCGCGCAGCGCGAAGGGCGAATCACTCCGCTCTCTCGCGCCGCCCCCCAGGGGAGAATAGGAGGCTGAGGAGGAATCGGAACCGAACCACGAAGCGCGAATCACTTCGCGCCCTCGAGGGCGCCCTCGGGGGGGGGACACTGTAGGGGTCTCCCGGGCCTCGTGAGGCGAGGCTTCTCTGGATGCCTCTCGGGTGCCCCTGGGAGTCTCTAGTGGCTCTCTTGGGGCCCCGTTTGGGGCTTCTTGGGCTCGCATGGGGCCTCCCGAGCTGTCCGTGGGGCCACCGGAATCTGTTGAAGGGGTCATAAGGACCATCTTGGAACGTTACCGGGCCTTCTTGGGCCCGTTTTGAAGCCATCATGGCGGCCTCTTGGACCGTCTTGAGAGCCGCTTAAGCCGTCTTGGAGCCCTGTCGGGCCGTCTTGGAGCCATCGGGGACCTCTTGGGCCGTCTTGGGTCGATCTCGATGGCCACTTGAGACCGTCCTGGGCGTCCCGAGGGTCGAAACAGCAAGCATGTAGGGGGGGGGGCTCTTGTACCGTCGGGAGGCGGCACTGGTCCGCTTTGGCGCGTTTTTGAATGCTTTGGAGCTTTCTGGGACGCCCTCTTGGGCGGGCCTCTCTTGGTACGTATTCGAACTCTCTTGGGCCCGAGCTGTATGCCGTGCTGGGGGACTGTGGCTGCATTGGGGTCGCCTTGGGGCCCTGTTGTGGCCGTCTTGGGCTCTCTGGGAGCCAGTTGGGCCGTCGTAGCGCTCTCTGGAGGGTGTGTTGGGCCAACAGGAAGCTCTCCGAGGCCATTCTGCGGCATTCTAGGAAACCTCTGGTGCTGCCTTGGGGCTCTCGGGGTCCAGAGGGCCAGAAGACCGCAAGAAGATGGTTCAAGACGGCCCAAAAGAGGCCCCAAAGACAGTCCTCAAGGGTTCAAGGCCACCATCGAAGCAATCTTAGAGCTGCCTCGCGTGAAAAGCACGAGAAGCCCATAAAACCTTCACTCTCCAAAAGGTTTGAACATCTGTTAAGCTTTTCCTGTGCTATTGCTTGACGGCTCATGAAAGGCCTCTTGATCCTCGGACTACCGTCCTAGAAGACAAACACCATAAACATACACTTTCGAATGTCACGCCGATTTCTCTGATCGGCGCTGGGCCCCCTCACAGGCGCGCGGAGCGCGCCAGGGGCAGCGCCGGAGGCGCCACCGCGGAGGGGCCCGCAGATCCGAGAAACCCGTGCGAGGCTCCGAAAGCATCCGCAGGCGACTCACGTTCGACCAAATGGCAGTGATCCATTGGGGGCACCCTGTAGTCTGTCTTGGCGCGTGCTTGGCTGGAGGAGGTGCCCTGGGGACTCGAACCCTGTGGGATCCTGCGGCGTGCTGCAGGGCCTCTTGGACTGTCCATGGACTTGACGATGGGTGCCGAACATGTAGTGCTACTCTTGCTGCTGTTGTTTGCTGGTGACGCTGCTGATTGCTGACTCTGCTTGCTGGTACTGCTCCGCCAGCTCTGCTTGCCGCTACTTGCTGCACGTTGCTTAGTGGTTGATGCTTGCTGGTTGCTCCTGACTGCTGTTCTGGCTCTGGTTTTACGGATAGGGGCGGGGCTATCGAGACATGTCTGGGACCACTTGGGCAATCCTAAGCCGTCTTGAGGCGTTGTGAAGCTTGGAGCCTCTTCAGCCTACCACTGGTAAGACGGTCGAGCAGCAAGGAGCTATCGAGGCGGGACGAGAGAGGAGCGAGACACGATCAGCGAGGAGCGAGGCTGCTGCTGTTGAACGTCGGCATGCGCGTGTGCGGTGCTCGAACCGAGGAGCCAGGACGGAGGTGGGAGTAGCCGAGAGGGAAGAAGGAGGAGCCAGGAGACGACGAGGCGTGGAGGAGTGAGAAGAGAGGAGGGAGGAGCGAGCAAAACGGCTAGGAACGAGGAACAGTGGGCGAGGAGCAAGGACCGTGAGGGATGGAGGGAGAAGCGAGGAGGGAAGAGGCAGGCCATCCTGGGGTGGTCTTGCGCCGTCTCGCACCCGCCTTAGTGCCATCTCGGATGCCAATGGGGCCCATCGTGGCCGTGGACCATCTTGCGGAGCGTCTTGGGGCACTGAGTCACTGCTGGAGACTCCTGGAGCCCAGAGCCGCAAAGTGGAGACTGCCACAAGCAGTTGGAACACACACACACACACACACACACACACACACACACACACACACACACACACACACACGCACACACAAAAAAACTAAAATCTGGTCATGCTTGGCGTTTGGGAGCCCATGCCTGAGGCCACGTGGGGGGGGCGCTAAGAGCATCGAGGCGGCGCCCACGGGGATCTGAGGGGGATCGACAGGGAGGCAAACTAGCTCAGGGGACGAGACATTGATCTTGCCCTCTGGCTTTCGAGCCATTGCTGGACTCTCCGGCGGGGTTCGGGACGATACCAGCAACCCCGGAGCGCCCTGGGCGCGGCGCAGCTGATGGAGACCAGGCCCCGAGCACTTCCGAAAACTCCTGAAGCTTTCTGATGACGCCCCCCCCCCCCTGATCGGCGACGCGTAGGGGTGGCCCGAAATTGGGCAAGAGCGACCCTTGGTGCGCGACTTCCGGGGGACGCGGGGTGGCCGAACCAGAGCGCGCAGGCCGCTCCTATCGCATCGGATTCGGCCATCCGGGGATCACACCGTGCCCGCGACACAGGTCATTCCGACACAAGGTCACTCGTACGTCTGTTCGACCTGAGCCCATCTCCCCCAACACTTGGCCCACGCGGAGCGTCCTGGTGATGGGCAGCGACAGGGTGGGACACCTCGACCTGGAATCGGCGATACATTGCCGACGCATCGGCGATGGGCCCCCGATCGTGGATCTGCGCGCTCCTGGGCAGGTGGGGGCCATGAGGTCCCTATCGGCGATCACTGGGCGATTGGGGGTCGATGCGTCCCCCCCTACGCCTGTTCACCCCTACAGCGGAGGCCAGTCCACAAGAAACCTTCCACAAGGAACCCGACCCTGAGATCCCAGCGTGGACTTCTGGTGTGGGAGCGCGACGGAACCATCGAACCCCGAGAAACCCAGGGCACCCTGGAGGCAAGCAGGGTGCTTCTTCGCATGGGCCCCCGCTGCATCGTTGCCCCTGACCTGGGCCTGGCCTCGGGCGCCCAGCGCCTGCCGGAAGCCCTCTCGGTCGACCTGCAGGCCCTGCGACGACGGCGCTGGCGGTTCGGGACCAGGAGAGCCGCCTGCTGCCCACAGCCTCGCCCGCTGGCACGCGCCTGCTGAGGGCGAGTGCGGCACAGATGTCCTCTCCTTGGCGGCTGTCCTCTCCCCAGTCGCCTCGTCGTCCGCTCCTCTGCGCTCGAATCCTCGTTGTCGGTGTCCCCCGCATCTCGCCACCGCCAGGGATGGCGGTGCTCCCGGCGCTGCCCACCACAGGAAGATCTGGCACAGGGCACATGGGATGCCGTCGGGCTCCAGCCTCACCTCCTGCATCTCGCGGAGCAGCAACAGGGCCTGCTGCCACTGCTCGCACTTCTCGCACGCGCTGACGCCGGCGTTGTAGCCAACTGGTGACTTAGTGACTAGTGTGAATCCGTTGATGAAATCCACGGCGTGCTGAGCCTGGGACTCGCCCGCCGTAGGTGGCCAGCTCGTCGAAGTTGAACAGCTCGGGCGTCCCTGGGCCGATAGGGGCGACCTTCGGAAGCACGTGTGACAGTCACGTTTGAGGGCAATGATTGGGGGCTGTGTGTGGGGGCCATGTTTCGGGGCGCCTGTGGGCTACGCGTGGGGGTGACGTTCGGGGGCCACGCTTACCGGGGCGGCAGGGGCGACCTTCGGAGGCTTTGTGTGGAGGCCGCCTTCGGGGGCCCCGTTTGGGGGCCACGTGCGGTGCGGACGTTTAAGGGGCCACGTTCGGGGGCCACCCCGGAAAGCAGTCGGGGAGCTCCGGGGGCACTGACCTGGAAACGTGAAAAGGAATTGCTGTTTTTGCTAATCGCGCCGCGCCTGGGCACGATTAGCAAAAGCACATAGTTTTCAGGCGCAGTCAGAGTCTCCGAGTGAGGGGGCCGTGTTTTCGGGCCTCGGTTGGGGGCCGCGCTGGCAGGTTTTGGGGCCATCTTGCGGGTCTCGGACCGTCTCGGAGGTCGGTTTCGGTTCTCTTGGGCGGCATCTGGGGCCCTTCTTGGGGCGTCTTGGGGCCATCTTGGGGTCCTTTCCGTCTTTTCCTGCGCTGTGCTCAATCAGCCCACATGTGTGCGACGTGTCTGGTACGCCTTAAGCGCCGCGGTCTAAACCAACTGAGCTCTGAAATGCCGACGGGCACGATAGATAAGAAGAGAAAGAGAGCGAGAGCGAAAGAAGCGAGATGGGACACAAAATGTGACAAATGCACATATGCATGCAGCCTGTGTGCGAACGTCGGCCAATCTCATTGTCGAGCGCCGTCTGACCGGCTCTACCCATGGATGGGAGGAAGAGGAGGGAAAGCAGAGGGCAGGGAAAAAGGCGAGGAGAGGGCAAGGGAAAAAAATCCATGTGAAGATGCACACGCCGATGGCAGAATGGCCTCGCTCTCCCGGAAGCCTCCGCCATGAGAGAAATGGGCCCGCTCGGGCAAAATCTGGGGCCCGGTTGGGGCTGACTTGGGGGTCACTTGAAGCGGTGTTGGGCCGTCTTGGGCCCCTGTTGGGCCGTCCACGGGCCTTCTTGGGCCGTCTGGGGGCCCTGCTGGGGCCCTCTTGGACTGTGCAGGGGCGATCTGGGATAAGCCCCTGGGGCCATCCTGGGTTGTTGTAGGCTCGAAATGGCGAAAAAAAACAACCCTCGAAACCTTCGGAAAACGCACGAATATTGCCTCTTGGCGCCGTCCATGCGGTCCTCGGGGGCCATCTCTGAAGCATGTTTGTGCCGTCATGGGGCTCTGGTCGGGTCGGCTTCGGCCCTCTTGGGCGTCTGTGAGGCCGTCTTGGGGCGATCTGGGGGTCCTGGAGCCTTTGGCGAGCGCTCCAGGGGCCTCCTGGGGCCGTCGAGGAGCGCCCCGGAGGCTCTCTGGGCGCCCCGCGAGCGCTCTGGGCGGCCACTGGTTCTGCTGCTCGCACGCGCTTCGCCCAAAAGTGCACATGCAGACTGGTGTGCACCCGTGCAGCAAATCCGCAGGTGCCCTGGCAGGGCAGCGCAGCGCGGCGGCGCCGACAGGCGCCGACAGCTCATGAGCTGCCAACTGCCCCTGCCTTCGCGCCGTTTCCCCTCCGACGCTGGGGCCGGCGCCGCCGCAGGCCGCGCACCGCCTCGTCTACGGCTCGGTGGGCCGCACCGCGCTGCCCACTACCCAATCCGGTCGGCCCCAGGGAACGGCCCACCACCCCCACTTTGGCGACGACGGCTACCGGCGGCGGCGACGACGGCATCAGCAGCGGCGACGGCAACGACGGCGGCGACGGCGACGGCGACGGCGACGGCGACGGCGACGACGACGACGACGACGACGACGACGCCGACAAGCGGCCGCGATGGCGAGGCGGCAGAGACGGCGGCGACAGCCCCGATGATGTGGTGAGGGAAGGGGGATCTGGGGGCGTTCCACGTGACCTGCGTGCATCTCGGGTCCTGGTACCAGGCTGCCGGGCCTGTCGGCTGGGCCGGGAGGGGCTGCGCTGCCCGGCCCGCTGTCCAGCGCGCAGGCTAACAAATCTGGCCGGCCAAGCGGGGCCCTTCCCGGAACGCCCATTCAGCCCTCAATCGAGCGGCTGGGGGGGGGGGGCCCGAGGCCGCCACGGGAGGACCCGGTACCGCCCCCAGATGGCACGCGGGAGGCCTTCAGGGGCAGCCCCAGGGAACAGGGCCGCAATTCGTCACATGGTTCTGGCTTCCAGGAGCAGGGCTGAAGAGCCCAGGCCCTCGTGGAGGCCTCTTGGGGCCCGTCTCTGGGCCATCGCGGGTCGTCGTCTTGGGCGCCTCCTGGGCCGTCTTGGGGCTCTTTGGGGTCGTCTTGGGCCGTCTAGGGTCTGTCTGGAGCCGCGTCGGGACCCTCCTTGGAGGCCTCGTGGCCCAGCCTGATCTTGGGAGCTGTGCCGTCGTGGACGTTGCAAGGGCTCCCAAGTCGAGTTTGCTCGACATGTTAGCAAACCCAGCATAACACACAATATGTCTGCGCTGACGGCCCTGCGGGGCGTACTCTCGGAGCGCTGCGGGAGCCTTTAGGGAAGTATTGCGGCCGCCTGGAGGCCGTCTTGGGCCCTCTGAAGCCGTCTATACGCCGTCATGGGCCATCTTGAGGCCGTCCTCGGCCGCGTCGGAGGCATCTTCGGCGAACTTGGAGGCCTCCTGAACTCGTTTGGGCCGTCGGGGAGACGCAGGCCCTCCCGGCAGGCCCTCCTGGCAGGCCCCCGCGGGCGCTCCCACCAAAGCAATGCACCACGCGCTGCTCCCGGTATTGTAGGATAGATGACGTCGGGCTGCAGCATCGCCGCACACACCTCGCCGAGCAGAGCCAGAGCCTGCTGCCACTGCTCACCCTTCTCGTACGCACTGACCCCAGCGCAGTAGCTGATAACGGTGGGTTCCAGCCTGATCTCCACCAACCTCCTGAGCAAACGAACCGCCAACTGCCATTTGACGCCCTTCTCACATGCGCTCACGGCGGCATTGCAGTTGCAGACGTCGGGCCTCGTCCCTGCGTTCCACGAGCCTACGAGCAAGGACAGTGCTTGACGCCACTGCCCCCCTTTCTCGCACGCGCTGATTCCGACGTTATATCCAAACGCGTCCAATTCCAAATTCGCCGCCCTCGCCTCCCTGAGCAACATCAATGCCTGCTGCCATTGTCCGCTTCTCACGCACGCGCTCATCCCAGCGCAGTGGCTGAAGACATCGGGCCCAAACTCTGCTTCCCACAATTCTCTGAGCAACACCAAAGCGTGTGGCCAAGCCCTTCCTTTCCCACATTCACCGACTGCCTTTGTGTAATAGAGTGTGGCGGCTTCCGCGTTCAGAAGCGACGCCTCTCGTAACAGCACCAATGCTGCATTCCACTGCCCCGCGTCTCCACACTTCTCAATGGCGGATGCGAGAGAACAGCGAGTGGATCGATATTCGTTACGCTGCCAAGGCCTGAGAAAATGCACCATCAACTGGTGAACAGATCGTTCGTGAAAGCTGCCCAGGGCACTCCACGTGCGCACGGCACCGCATTCCGAGTGGGCCCCGACGGGGTAGCTGATCGAAATCCACAAAACAACCGAATGCAATGAGCGAAACGCACGTCGATTAGCAGACGACTGGGGACTGCACTGGCGCACTCAAATGTCAAGCCCGAGTGAACCAGCGCGCAGATGTCAGATGTCCTCAGTCGACTTGTCTGGGTGGGCGTGTTTTGTTTGGTTTTTTTTTTTTGTTTCTCCTTTATATATATATTCTTATTCTTCTTCCAGTCGCAGCTTTCAGCAAACGGCGCCCAGGCAACAAACGCGTGCCGAAGCAGATGAACAACATGCCAAACACGCGCCGATACAACACTGACGCGCCAAACGCGCGCGGAGACAAATAACCGATTGCGGTGGAGCTCCTCCTCCTCGCCCTCCTCACACACACACGCACTTCCTCCGCCTACCCTGTCACGTTGTCCTTTAGCTCCTTCCTGTGATCGCACATCCCGTCGCCATCGACGGCCAAAACCTTCAGGGTCGGCGGCGCCGGCCGCAAGGCCTTCACAATAACCGATTGCGGTGGGGCCTTATCGATGCGGAGCTTGGCCACCAAGAGCCGTGATTAGGGGCATCGTCTTCTGGCATCATGCCTCAGGCGTCGCACCCTCCGTGTAATCATCCTCGCTCAGCAGCCCTCCGATATGAAACCCAGCGCACCGAAGCTTCTTCAGGTAGACGTTCAAATACTGCTGCCCTTTGCCAGTGTGACAGTGGACGACTTTGAGCTCCACCGGCCCGAAGTTCATCCACTTCGGCTTGTTGTCGCGCGCGCCGCGAGTGTTGAAGTGGAAGCCTCCGTGCTGCGCCTTGTCTGCCCACGCCCCTGTGACGTTGACCTCCTGGAAGTAAATGCCCGAGCATCGTGCTCCCAGTCGACGCGCGTCGGCCTGCACGACAAGCAGCGCGTCCTCGACGGGCTTTCCGCGTGAAATGCTGACCAGGATAGACTTGCCCGGCTTCGCCAAGTCGAACCGCTGACCGAACATATTCTGCAGGTGCGGGACGCCGACGGCAGCCACCTGCCCCTGCGTCGGCGCTGGAGTCGCCGTCGGACCTGGCGTCGACGTCGGACTTGGCGTCGGGGTTGGTGTCGGGCTTGGCGTCGGGCTCGGCGTCGGGCTCGGCGTCGGGCTCGGCGTCGGGCTCGGCGACGGGCTCGGCGAAGCGCTCGGCGTCAGGCTCGGCGTCGGGCTCGGCGGCGGGCTTGGCGTCGGGCTTGGCGTCGGGCTTGGCGCCAGGCTTGGCGTCGGACTTGAATTCGGGCGCGGCGTCGGGCTCGGCGACAGGCTTGGCGTCGGGCTCGGCGTCGGGCTCGGCGTCGGACTTGGCGTCGGACTTGGCGTCGGACTTGGAGTCGGGCTTGGCGTCGGACTCGGCGACGGGCTCGGCGTCGGGCTCGGCGTGGGGCATGGCGTCGGACTAGGCGTCGGGCTTGGCGTCGGACTTGGAGTCGGGCTCGGCGTCGGGCTCGGCGACGGGCTCGGCGTCGGGCTCGGCGTCGGGCTCGGCGTCGGGCTCGGCGTCAAGCTCGGCGTCGGACTCGGAGACGGGCTTGGCGTCGGACTCGGCGACGGGCTCGGCGTCGGTCTTTGCGTCGGGCTTGGCGTCGGGCTTGGCGTCGGACTTGGCGTCGGACTTGGTGTCGGACATGGAGTCGGGCTCGGCGTCGGGCTCGGCGACTGGCTCGGCTTCGGGCTCGGCGTCGGGCTCGGCGTCGGGCTTGGCGTCGAACTTGGCGTCGGACTTGAAGTCGGGCTTGGCGTCGGACTTGGCGTCGGGCTTGGCGTCGAACTTGGAGTCGGGCTCGGCGTCGGGCTCGGCGACGCGCTTGGCGTCGGGCTCGGCGTCGGGCTCGGCGTCGGGCTTGTCGTCGGACTTGGCGTCGGGCTCGGCGTCGGGCTCGGCGTCGGGCATGTCGTCGGACTTGGCGTCGCCGACGTCGGCGCGGGCGTCGGTGCTGGCGTTGGCGAAGGCGATGGCATGGGCGTCGGCGCTGGCGGAGATACATGCGTCGGTGCCAGGGTCGGTGCCGACGTCGGCGCGGGCGTCGGCGCTGGCGCTGGCGAAGTCGAGGGCGCGGGCGTCGGCGCTGGCGAAGGTACCTGCGTCGGTGCCTCGAAGACGCGAACGTGACCAGAGTCTTGCCCAGCACCGTCTTTGTGGCTCGCGCTCCCATGGTCACGCGGCTGCCTTCGCTGCTCAGCGACACCGACTGGCCACCGAAATCGCCTGAGGCGTCGCCATCGACGTCCAGCCCCAACTGGGTCCAAAATGTTGCCCGAGAGCCCGAAGACGCGAACGTGACCAGAATCTTGCCCAGCACCGTCGTTTTGTCGCTCCACTGGCCACGCGGCTGCCGTCGCTGCTCAGCGACACCGACTAGCCACTGAGATCGCCTGAGGCTTCGCCATCGATGTCCTGCCCCAACTGGCTCCAAGTGTTGCCCGAGAGCCTGAAGACGCGAACGTGACCATAATCTCGCCGGTTGCTTCAATGGCCACGCGGCTGCCGTCGCTGCTCAGCGACACCGACTGGCCACTGAAACCGCCTGAGGCTTCGCCGCCGATGTCCTGCCCCACCTGGCTCCAACTGCTGCCCGAGAGCCCGAAGACGCGAACGTGACCAGAATCTGATCCAACACCGTCGTTGATGATCGCTCCAACGGCCACGCGGCACGCGGCTGCCGTACTGATATCGCCTGAGGCTTCGCCATCGATGTCCTGCCCCACCTGGCTCCAACTGCTGCCCGAGAGCCCGAAGACGCGAATGTGACCAGAATCTTGCCCAGCACCGTCGCTGTACATCGCTCCAATGGCCACGCGGCTGCCGTCGCTGCTCAGCGACACCGACTCGCCACTGATATCGCCTGAGGCTTCGCCATCGATGTCCTGCCCCACCTAGCTCCAACTGCTGGCCGAGAGCCCGAAGACGCGAACGCGACCATAATCTGATCCAACACCGTCGTTGATGATCGCTCCAACGGCCACGCGGCACGCGGCTGCCGTCGCTGCTCAGCGACACCGACTGGCCACTGATATCGCCTGAGGCTTCGCCATCGATGTCCTGCCCCACCTGGCTCCAACTGCTGGCCGAGAGCCCGAAGACGCGAATGTGACCATAATCTTGCCCAGCACCGTCGCTGTACATCGCTCCAATGGCCACGCGGCTGCCGTCGCTGCTCAGCGACACCGACTGGCCACTGAGATCGCCTGAGGCTTCGCCATCGATGTCCTGCCCCAACTGGCTCCAAAAGGAGGCCCCTGTAGACACGTCCTTCAGGGAACTGACGCGGGCGAGGTCGAAGCTCGCGGCGTCCGCGCCGAGCTGCAAGAGTACGGTGTCCTGCTGAGGGTCGACCTCCGCCGCCACGGTCGCGCCGAAGACGCCGTGGGCGAGGAGAGGGATCAGCAAGCACGCTCAGGCAGGCGCCTTCTGGGCCATCGTGGCCGTCAGAAAGGCAAATTCGAAGAACAGTTGGCCCAGTGAGGCGCGTACGCTGGCGTTTCGCGCTTGAGCCAGATGGGCGGGCGATTTCTCAACGATCGAACGTGGAACAATCTGAGGTGTGGGGAGGCGGGCAGGGGGAAAATCGGGAGGGGCGTTTCGTCTTCCTCGACTTCCGCGGACACGTCTGGTGTCATGCCGCGTCTCGCGTCCTGCGCCGTCGTAGCAAGAACCCTTCGTCTGCCCTCGCGCTCTCCGTGGAAGTCCTGTCCCCCGAGGGCTCTTGCTTCCCTCAACAAGGCCCCAAACGCTCCCTGGAGGCGCCCAGAGAAGCGAAGAAACGTCCAGAGACTTCGACCCTCGCATCTCGGCCACCCGCAACAGTGGCCACAGGCAGTGAAAACAGGAAACTATATAAACATAAGCTTTCCCAGCTCGCGCAGATTTCTTGGATCGGCGTAGGGCCCCCTTCCCTGGCGCGCACCGCGCGCCAGGGGCGGCCCCGGAGGCGCCACCGGGGGGGGCCAGTGGCGATCTAAGAAATCCGCGCTGAACTCCGAAACAAATTACGTGTTTGTGTTGTTTACGGCTTCGATCTTCGACCATCGGCTACCCACAAGGTGGCATGAAGGAAGAGCCTTCCCCCCTCCCTCTACCCCGACAGTCCCCCGACTCCTCCTGGGGACCATCCTGGCCCGTTCTTCCAGTCCAAAACAGGACGAGACACGCCTGAAAGGGCCGCTGCTGTCTCGACGGACGATCCTGCGACCCAACTGCCCAGACATCCGCCGTCGTGATTTTTGAAAACGTGGCCCCCTCTGCGCGTGGTTGCTACGACGAATATAGGACGATGATACACTCGGGTGATGATAAATCAAGAATCTCCTCAGAGCGTTTCGGAGCGTTCTGAAAGCGTCCCGAAGCGCTATGGAACGGATTTGCCCCCGTCCTCGCCCCGTGCGAGCTTCTTCGTCGCGAGCAACAATGGCCGCGCGCGCGTGCGCGCCGCCCACCCCTGGGCGGCGCCCCCCCCGCGCCGCTGGCCGCGCGCCTCGTCGGAGCACGTCCGCGGGCCCCAGAGCCAGGAAATCAAGAGGTGACTGAACGCCCCTCTTCCTCCAGCCTGTTTCCCCTCCTAGTCGGCGTTGGAGGCTCAGGCACTTTTCCTGAAACTCTTTCACGCGACTACCGCCCCAGCACTCGCACGGGCAAGAGAAGGGGCGGGGGGGGCATGGAAGGAAGATGGCTACGATCGCATTGTTCTCGATGTGTGCATTGACGCAACTGGCATTCTAAAACCCATTGGCGGCGAGTACCACGGACAGGCTGGAACAGATTAGCAGGGCACTACGAGAGTGGGATGTGACTGTGCTGACAGGGGCGCATCAGTGGGCAGGGTCAGAGCAGATGATGAAGACAAATCATAGACACCATGTGGCGCTGCAGTTCGGAACAAAGAATGGGACATGGATTACGAGGAATAGCAGCGGGGGTGAGACTGCGCACGAGAGCTTACGACGTCACAATATTTGCTACATACGTATCTACCACCAGAGACAGGGTACACGGACAACGGGTTGATCTCAAACAAATATATGATGTGGGTGGGACAAAAGTGTAAGGACACAGGCGGCGTATCTACTACCATAGTGGGAGGGGACATCAACAGTCAGCTGGGAATGCACAGAGCGGACACCAGGGACTTGGTGGTAAGCAGACACAGCTCGAGCAAATATGCAGCGGCATTGGGACCAGCGTCTAAAAAGTGGAGAACGACAGCAGTGAAGCGTTGAGGAAGTTGTGTGCCAAGTCTATTGTCAGTAGTCACTATATGCTTCGATCGTGGACCAACTTATTACTGCATCAAAGACGACGAGATACGGACGAGCAAGATCGACCACGTAGCGATACTGGGGGGGGCAAGAAAGCAACAGAAAATCAAAGCGAGAGGACATAGAGACAATATCCCTTTGGGCATCGACATAGGACTGGAGCACCAATTTCACTCCTCAAGCAAGCACAGGCAGCCAAGGGCCGACAAAGGTATAGGCCGCAACATGCTGATGGAGTGCCTGAAGAAAGGACGTTTGAGAGCAGAGATATTGAGTGCTTTCGATCGCCACCTGAAGGTCACGACGCCCCAGCAGCAAGGAGAAGCATTAACGAGGTCATGTCGGAGTGCGCTCCAGGTGGATGATGCCGAGCCTCCAGGATATTCATCAGCGAGGTCATCTCGGAATGCGTTACAGGAGGGATCTACCGAGCTCCCAGGAAGAGCATTAGCGAGGTTATATCGAAGTGCAAACCCTGGCGAGCGAAAGGCAGAGAAATGATGAAGAAACCTAGCCGACCTACAGCAGATCAGATGTTCAAGAAATTGAGCGATGCAGGTCGAAAAGCAACGAGAGAAGTATTCCCAGTCAAGGAGAGACAGGACAAGGGAGTAGCAGCTTTCTCCCGACTGGCAGAAAGGATGAAGCTGAAAGTGGGCATGGTAGAATCAAACTCGCAGGATAGACTGGAGGAGATCACAAAGGAGCTGAAACAGATACAACATGCGCTGCGGAAACACTAGTCAAATCTGGAAACCGCAAGGAAGAATCAGCCGGCGGGGGAGATATGAAGGGCGCACGAGAACAACGACTTCAGCGAGATGTGCAGGGGCGGGGTAGAATACCAGAGGAATTGAAGAAGACGAAAGAACAAGTACTACTTCCCAGCGCGAAGTCGGTGGAGCACAGAGGAATGGCCAAGAGAATTTGGAGGGCATTCTCACGAAGGGGGGCTTGCAGCAGAGCCGATGGATCTGGTAGAGTACGAAAGTGGGCGCGACGAGATGATCGCGGAAACATGCCGCTACCATTGGGCGGGGATCTGGGGGCCCAGGTTGAAAGAGACACAAGGGGCACGCTGAAAAAATGCAGAAGAGCGGCAAAGAGGAGAGCTTTCCCCCCGCGGGGGGTACCAGTAGAACTTACGCGGAGGATTCTGGACCCCGCGGTCAACCTGAAGGACCCTGAGCAGTTGAGCTAGAAGCTGGAGGAGCAGAAGATACGAAAGGCGGAGCTACGTGGGGACGAGGAGGACTTGAATATGCACAGCTCACTCCGCAAGTACAGGGTGGGAAGGGCGATTCTACAGAAGATGGCAGGGAAAGCAAGGAATGCGTTGGGCCTGACGGAAAGTGCCGATGGTGGAGAAGCGATGAGAGCAGATAAAAAAAACGTACCACTTGGGGAGGTGCGAGAAAGCTGGACTGGGGTCGACAGTTACGGAGGAAGACGAGTGCATGGGGCGCCAGAGCACGCTGGACGACATCCTCATCGAGTGCCGACGCTGGACCGGCACAGATCGATTTCGTTCTCGCCGGAGAAAGGCAATAACAAACAGGGGCTTGGAGAGACAAGAGTTATGCATGCGTATTGCTCGATGGGAATGGCTTTCCACACAGGGACTCGCTACAGAGGAAAAGCTCCTCAACACCCATGCTGGGCACAGGGGGGGGCGGCTACGGAATAGGTCGAGGGGGAACGCCATCGCGCGCGTGGAAGCCACGCAGTGGAGGGCGATACGAGCAGGGCAAATACCACCACCAGCAATTATGACTGCACCAACGCCTTCGCGAGCACGAAGCGCAATCTCCTGCTGGCATCAGCATTCGCGACGTCAAAGGAGGAGGACTTGCCGTTCGCCGTCGAGGCGATCAACTACACGCCGATGAACATGGAGTGCGCCGATGCCTGTATACGCGCGCTGAGCGCAAAGGGAGCGCAAATGGATTTTACTCTGAGCCCACGGCAATTCAATGATACTTACAACTTGCAAGTAAGAAAATGGCACTCAGAAGAGAGGGGGAGGGCCGAGGTGCAGACAGCGCATGATACGTTGGACCCAGTGACAGGCCAGGTGCACGATCTTTCGCTCAGCGCGTTCATGGACGACACCACCACGATCCATGCGGTGGTTCAGTCGAGCCCACCCACCCAGGTGACGGGCGTTAGCAAAGTAACCTCGGAGTACCAGTCAGGTTTTGGCGAACGCGGAGTCAACTCGGCTCGTCCAGAAGCACCTACTGGTAGGGAGGATGGGCCACTGTTCCAAGCGAGAAGAATAGCGGAGCAGATCAACCCCACCACGGGGAGATTGGAACGCAAGCTGTCGAAGGGAGGTTGGAGCCTGAACCCGGCCAAAACCAACCACCTGCGTTCCCTTCGAAGCCCAGGGGGAGATGGGATCACTCAACAGCTGCAAAGAGAAAAGAAGATCAAGGGCACGCCGACGAGGGAGATGCGAGTACTGGGACCGCACCTACCTGGGGATCAGGGCTACGCTGAGATCGGGAGGAGATGTGAGGCAATGCACATAGCCTACAGACAACGTGGTTGCTTCTGGTCTTCTGGTACCACCGACGAAATAAAGAAGGTGATGCTCCAGGCGGTGGTATCAGGGGCGGGCCTTAATTGGCTGATAGCGCTCGTATTAGAGGACCGCCATCTCGGTGCGTTCGACAGCACTATGGCAATTCTTCTGAACGAATGACTGGAGGCAGAATGCGTTGGACTCAGGAGGGTAGCGCGACCAGGTGTTGCGCCAACAAAGAAGTGTTCAAACACATGGGGGATACCGCGTTGCGCTGCAGCGAAGAGGGCACGCGGTCTACGATGGCACAGGCAATGGGCGAAACATCCAGAGGATGTTGTTAGTGTAGTTGCAGCAGTAGTTGGAACATCGACCGTGGATCGCCTGTGCGTAGTTAGGAGAATGGAAAAAGGGGTGGGCACGCGAGACGTCGACGCCGCGGGCAAAAAAAAGGTGGCCATGGATTTGCAGGCGCTGGCAGAGATAAGCGAGGGCGCGGCAGGCTGGCGCCCGCGGAAGCAATCAGATATCTCAACATTACAGAAGGGACGTTGGGCTGGGAAGCGCGGGTTGGAACAGGCCCCAGGATGCCGCGGCATGCATGGCGCGCCTGGGAGGCCAAGCTACCAGAAAGAGTAGCGGGAGAAGAGTTGTTCGCTCAGTATTGGCGTGACTGGGAGGCGGGGAAAGGGGGGCAGGCGTGCGGGGCATCATTCACCG